GAGATGAATGCAGAAGTTTTGACAGAAAGTTTTCTAAACGGAAACGTATTACGTAATGGTACAAAACGGAATATAGGAATCTTGGAATAAGTCTCGAGGGCTGATTTTACCATTGCGCTGCTAGCGAATGCTGTGATTCCTCAAGTAGTAGAGCCAGTAAGATCATGTGAAGATTGTCTTATTACCGAAGATGACTCCAATCGGTCAATTAGCTATACAATCGCTACCACAATTGAAAGTAAAACCAATAAATAATTCCCTTAAAAGCAAGTCAACCAAAATCCTGTAAAATGCCATCAGCTCGACCTCACGAACTTTGCAAGTGAGAACTAAATCTCGTTTTTCTTATATTATATTAATTTTATTTAATGATTACTTATATTTATTTTTTTAATCTTTTAGTGAAGTCCAGCAAAGATGCGAGTGTGTTTTGAAAACGCAGCCTTAGCTGCTAGAGCGTCAGTGTCGAAGCTTGTTACTGGTTTGCGGGAAAGAAATTCGGTTTCTGTGGTATTTTTGTATAGAATTTTATAACATATAGACATTGTTCTACGTAGGAGGATAAAATAAATTCATTCTTTTTAGTGATTTGACATTCTAGACGAGTTAGCCAATAGTCCTGTGGTCAACTTGTTGGCTTTTAGCTTTTATACGATTATTTTATAATATGTTAGTCCTGGGTTTGATGAGAATTTGCCTGAGTGTTCTCATCGAGTTTTGAACCCGGTTATTTATACTGACAAAGTTCGCGGTGGTTGCACAGATAGTCCTTTGCAAATTTTCAACTAATGATTACGTTGGAAATTGTAAATTTTTAACTCCGCATCCGAATTATATCGCACTTGATCCGTTCCAATCGAAATCGAAAAGTTCACATGCGGAAAAAGTTAAGAAAAATAAGCTTAAAACAAGAAAGATTTGGAGAACATGGGCTTCGCTGATGCCTTTAAACAATGTAAAAGAATTGCTTGAATGTTTTAAATTGGAAATCGTCTCTAGTGCTTGTTTTTTTATATCTAGCACAAAAGAGTAAAACTAAAATTTCAAATAATATAAATTAAAAAAATGTTTATATTAACACAAAATTACTTAAAACGCAATCACGCTTTGCTGCTGCTTTTTTTATTAAGCTATTTTTAAGGTCTTTCGAAATTCAGAGCCAATTTTCCATTTGCGGTCTTCTGGAAGATTTTAAATTTCATAAACGCGCGTTTAGAGCCGCTAGAAGTGATAACAATAATATAAATAGAAGGTTGAGTTTTATTTTTAATATCTAACAGCTAATCAACTAGCGCTTAACTGTGTTATTCCCCTTCTCGACAAGCGATTTCAATTCATCCATCATCGTACGATACTTTGTGGGAACTGGCACATTTGCATGTACACACAAATAAAATTAAAAAGACACACAAGAATAAATAAAAACATTTTATTTTAAATTTAGAAATTAGCTGTCTAATGATATGTTGTTCGATTTAAAATTTTATTTTATACCCTACATTATTTTATAAGGAATGAAAAAGAAGCAATAAAGTCGATTTATGTCCACTTTTATGTATATTTGTGAAATCACAACATTTAACTACATCCTTTGCTTCGTTTTATTTATAAACTAAGTGTATTTTCAGTATTGTGAAAAATTTATATTTTAAATAGCTCCTTAGGAATATAAGCGAAGCTTCATTGTGTCAGACCCCTTAGTTGTATGAAATTTGTAAGCATATTTTAGAACATTTGAAAAGTATGTGGAGTCCTGAGTAAAGTGACCTAAGATGCATGTTGCGTTGAATATTCTGTCATCTTACGTGTTTCTTTTTTTTTCTGTATAGGCAGAAGAAACTATTCGGTGTATAAAAGCGATATAAGCGACATTCCTAGGTATATATACATATATATATATATTTAATTTATTTATATATTTGAAGAAATATTTTCTATATACTTACAATTTTTTAACACAAAATTTATGTTATGAGGAAAATCGGTTTTATATGCTAAATACTATTTCTTGCAACCATGTTAAACAGTACCAAATAAATATAAACAAGAAAGAGAATCCACAATCCATTTAATAATATGGCGGTTGATATGAATTAAATTTTTGTGACAAACATAAAGAAAGAAAGTACGGGCACAAACAAAGCAGGCGAGGAAAGACAAATTCATTCGATCAAGTTTAAAAAGAAAATAATTTGTTTTTGGACGTATACTATGGAAGATTTGCTGAAACTTTCTGAAAAAGCAGAGTCTTACCCCAAGGAATTGGAGAAAAAGAAAAAGGTAAAGTTAAGCGTCGCCATTTTGGTATTTTCATATATTTGTTGTTAATTATCTTAAATTTCCGAGGCTTAACAAACTGCGTGAATTTTTCGTTAAGTAATGCGGAGGATATTTAGTAGAAAATTGTAAAAAGATCATTTTATCTCTTCAATTTATAGGAGTGGCTTGAAAACTTGCGTAAAATTTTATATGGGAACTCTGTTAGTAAAGCTGAGCCCAAAAATGAAGAAAATAGTTTACCATCGCCGTCGCCCTGCCAAACTATGAAGCGTTGTAAACGTCTATCTTCTTTAGACGAGGAAAACGCAGAGGGTAAGTGCATTTATTTTCTTTGCAGAAACTTCATACGTACCCCGCCCAGTGAACGAGGATTACGCGAACAACATGTGTTCAGTTCCTTCTTCATCAAGAACTGTGATAAATATCCGTCATTGGAGAATATCTATGATTTAAGTAGAAGTAGGAGTAATTTATGTAAATTCAAGACATTGCTCCGTCTGCTCGTTTCTGCTTTATATCATAGGGTAACATTTCATTTTTCTGAAATCACACAATCTTGCGTACGTAGATGACTGTTTTGTTGGCTTTTTTAACGGACAGCTGCTTAAAGCAACAAAGGAACTTTTCGTTTCGAAGTGTATTCATTAGATAAGGATATGGCGTTTGCCATATGGAAAGATTAATTTGAGCTGAAAATAACACCTTTGACCTTTGATTCTTTTGTTCATCGTTTTTAAAGAAGCTTCCTACGCCATACGAAGCTTATCGAGTTAGTCAATTGAAATCTTACACTGTTTTGAATCTTGCGCTTAAGTACGAACGATTACTGTAGGTTAGCTTTGAAGTCGCGTCTTGATCAAGGGAATTGTTATATTGTTATCTTGCAGCAAAGTTCACTTCTTTCATTAGAGAAAATATATAGAAATTTTGATACTAGAAAGTAGTAATTTTATTGCCAATGTAAGGGTCACTTCTTCTGTTAGCGGAGACCTAGAAAGTTGGGCAACACGACGTCGATCTTTTATTTTATTTAAAATGTAATTTAAATTAAAACCGAAAGCAATATCAGGCTTTGATTTGTAATTGGAATTCTAAGTAAAGTGAATAAATATATTATTTTTAGATAATGAAGACTCTAGCGCTAAGCCGAATAGGAAGTCGAATGAAATATTGTTGTCATCGGCAAGTGAAATCGAACGAGGAGAGAAGAATGATCAAATATTGCCAGTGCCAGCCCCTCGCGGATGTGGTGCAATTGTCGTAGCCGTCGAATCAGACACAGTCTCTTCAACAGTCAGTAATTCCAACGATAAAGAATTAATGCCGCCACCACTTCCACCGTCAGTATTAGAAAACGTCGATTCGTCTGTGGAGGTCGCTCATAATTCTTCCGGTCGGCCGCAACGCGCCGCAAAATTGAAATCTGAGAAAAATCTCAAAGAACCTGAATTGCGAGGTAAATTGAGACAACCAGCCATTGTCAATGTTAAGGTTAAGTTGGAAGAAGAGCAGCGTTTATCTCAAATGAAGACGCGGAGTACTAAGGCAGATACCAAGGCAGACGATTCTGTAATTGTTTTGCCAAGCAAGAAGCCGTCTACGATAGAAATTAACAGTACTTCGGAAGATGAGGATCAGGCTCGAACAAGTGTCGAAAAAGAATGTATTAATACCACACAAACACAGCAGACATCCGGTAATGATTGCTAAAGTTGATTATTGCATTCAATGTTATTTGATTATTGTTTATATAGATGGCTCTTTCGAGCAAGCTCAAGGCAATGCCCGCCAATTGCGTATTAGAGTTAAGCGTGAAAAGATCAGTTTAACAAATAAGGACAATGTTAAAAATGATGCCAGTGCTGAAGCAACATTCAAAGATCCACCTTCGGTACCATTGCCAATAAAGGTAGGTATTGATTACGTAATAGGTAACAGTAGACGTGAGCAAATTGTGCAATTTTTCTCTTTTTAATTGCTCTATAAAGACAAAGGTAGACACATCTTTGGAAGAGGCATCCAGTAGCCAAAATTCTACGTCGACATCGACAACTAACAGGGTTGCAGCCTCCAAAAAAGATCGGAAGAAGAAAAACGCGGTTCCACATAAACCCATTAAAGTTGAGCGTCTTAGTGATTTTGAAAATCGGTCACCAGTTGCCTCACGTACACGTAAAGGTGGTTCTAATCGAAATCAGCCGGATTCGGAAGATGGTTTCGCTAATGCAGCGTCTAACGGAATTCCCGAAACCGATTCGAAAGTGCACACATCAATTTATGAGGATGCTGTTCAATCCCCCCCCGTTCCTGGGGAAGAACTTCCAAAAACCGTCTCTGCTGCCGATAAGGCAAGCAATGTTAATGAAACATTTAATGTGGACCGGCAGCAAGGCGATCAATGCAACGGCACAATTACTGTTGCACCGCCAGCACATGATGCTACTTTTCGAGCAGAGTTTACTCATGAAACATTTGTTGTAGATTCTAATCTAAACGCTACAGCAACTGTACAAAAGGGTGTTCAGGCTGAAGCAGAGGGAAATCTTACTTTCGCTGTTACATCCCAAAATAAAAGTAAACAAGAAGAAGACGCAGTCGATCAAAAATCGTTCGAAACGGCAAAGGATGCTTCAATACCACGCGATAATAGTCTTATTACCGAAGACGAATCATCCGGGCAGCCAGCTGCACAACAACTACCGCTACTATCGAAAATAAAACCAGCAACTAATTTTCTTAAAAGTATACCGACTTCAGCTAAAGCGTATAAAATGCCACCAGTTCTTTTCAAGTGAGGATTGATTTTTACTTTTTAACTATTATATTAATTTTATTATTTAAAAATTATTTATATTTATGTTGTAGTCCGTTAGTGCACAGTCCAGTAAAGATGCGCGTGGAAGCTTTTGAAAATGCAGCTGTAGCCGCGAAAGCGCCAACTTCGAAACGTGTTACTCGCCTGAAGAAAGAGAACTCAGCTCCTATGGTAGGTTTGCATGAATTTTTGTTTGATTCTATAACTTACAAGCATCGACTTACATAGGCTGGTGGTAATGGCAGTTCGATCACTCCCACCATTGGTAAACTAGGTAATCCTGCTCTTGGGCGTTTTCTTACACCTACGCAAACTAGCAATCTTACGCCTGCTTCAGGGGCAATCAAAAAATTGCCTAGCAGCGCGTCCAAGGCCACGATGCCTCTGCACAGATCCGCAACTGCTTCTAGTTTAAAGAATAGCGTGATTGCAGGTTCATCGAAAAATTTACATCGCGAGAATAGTAGCGATGATGTTCATAAAGCCTTCAGTCAAAGCGAAGAGCGGAAGAAGCAGCGTGAACAGAAACATTTATTGGCCGCACAGCAACGTGAGGCAAAAGAACGCGAACGAGCTGAACGTTTCGCAAAACTAGCTCAGGAACGGGAGGAAAAACTTCTTAAAAAACAATTAGAGCAGGAACGAAAAAAACGTGAACTGGAAGAAATTAATCGAAAATTGCGCCTTCAGGATGAAGCATTAGCTGCCAGTGCTGAGGCTAATAAATTGAAAGCAATCAGAGCCAAAGCTGCAGCTCAGGAACGTGAAATGTTATTGAAACTGCAACAAGAACAGCAGATGTTCAAGCAACGTATCATGCCGCCGCCACCGAAATTACAAACAAAATATAGATTTGAAATGTTACACGAAGACGATTCGACCGACGAAGAGGGCAAAACATCCTACAAACGCCCACCGCCGCCTACTTGGAGTCGAAGTAAATTAATCAAAACGTATTATGAAATCGTATCGAATCTCATTACATTTATAAATTTTTAGGTCATGAACGTGGACCGCACATTCTAATGCAACAACACGTCCCCCTTGACGTTATTGATAGTTTCTTCTCAGTGCAACCATTAACGGCTGATTTGAAGACGATATTCCCAACTATCGATGATCGTTATTTAAAACGCAATTCCAGTGTATTATGGTCTACACCGCCACGTTATTCCGAATTGCCGAAATATTAAGCAACTGGAACTGATCGTTTAGAAAATTATTGTTTTCATTTTTTTCATTTATGCATTATGATTGACATTTTGATTGCTGTTGAAGTTTTTTTTTTTGTTTGTCGTTCGACATCTCTTTGCAATTATAAATGGTGAATAAATTAAATCAATTATCTCGTTGAAATAAAGAAAATGGCATGCCTATCTTGAGAGTATTTCTCCCACAGTAGAAGTTGCGAATTGTCGTCTACAATCAGGAGTCATCAATTGACACTGAAGATGTTTCAGTTAAATATAAAAAAAAAAAAAAAAAAAAATCTATTACGAAAAAAGCAAACTAAAGTTTGTTTGTCCGCTGTATCAGGCCATTTGCTTTCAGCTGTGGGATGTAGAATGACATTACTAATATCTTATTGATGCTTTTTCAGTTAAAAAGTGTTATGTTCAAGGAGAAGAAGCAAGATAAAGCAAAAAATTAAAGCTCCAACAATCATAAAATAACTTCATTCATTGGTCATGGTTTCGATTTGAAAAACAACTAAACCATTTTTGTATGTAATATATGACAGAATATACATGTTCGTTCATGCACAGGCGCACTCATGTACGGACATACATACATACATACGTACATAGGCATACCCTCCTCCATGTAAAAAAAAAAAATTATTCGCAAATTGTTTAGCACCACATAAACGGGCAAAAGAGAGGTCTGTCTTATTAAGATACGATAACAAAAATATATACATCTACGTACATTGATAGGCACTGGAAAATCTACAATAGCTTCGTTTGAATTAGTAGACCGTAGAGTTTCTATGCAGCTCGTCAGAGAAGGGGGTATACTAAATCATTCATTCCGTCTGCCCGCGTCAGGCATAAGCATTAAACACTCTTTTAATTATAAGGAACTTTGAATGGTCCGATGCCTATTGTACTTATTCATCATAGTCAAGTTCCTATCTTCGTATTCCTTCCTTAGCACATTTATGCCTTTCTTTAATTTCGAAAGTTTTGAGGTTTCGGCCTAGGCAGACGACTTCAATTGACGTAGAATAACAACATGATCTGCAGGTATTCAAGATTCGTTCAAAGTGTAAAACTTTGCTTGTTTGACTATATTTCTTTTCAAATCATATAATATAGTAATTATAATATAACGTAACCATAGAAATTACTTATCGTTCTATTATAATATAATGAATACATGTAGAAATTCAATAGTCGTGGTAATCGAAGTATCCAGTCAAGTATATGAGCATAGTGTTACTTAGTGTTAGTTATCGTATCAAATGGTCATTGATCTGTTGCAAGGCAAAGTAATTGATTGACTGTTGTCCGACAGTTGAAAGCAAATAAAATGTTAAAAGGCTAATGAAATGAAAATTACATACCCTTGACTTTTCAATCAACAAACGTTCGTTTTAGAAATTTTCTTCTTTTGTTTTTTCTTACAAAACATATAATTTGTTAAAATATTCCCATAAAAGTAAATGTGTATGTATTTGTGATAGAAATTAGCCATGAAAGGAGTAAGAAACTTATCGCGAACTTTGTATAATTAAGATATTGATTACGAGTATCATGTTAGGTTTGTACGAACGTACGTAACAGCCAGACGGAAGAAGGATTTGAGCTAAGTCCACCTTTTATTAAGCTTGTTTTTAGTCGTGATTTGATTAGGATACAACTTAGGTGACAACATGTCTGCTATTTTTAGAACTTGTTCCGGGTTTTTTGCAACACGTTTTCTGTTTCCGGATTTATAAATGGTCCCGAAAGACAGTAGTGTGAGAACGTAAAAGTTGAAATGCATACCTAAGTGGGTTAGATTGTAAACTAAGAATGTAGGAGTAAGTCAAGAGAGGCGCACAGCACTGACTGCGTAAAAAGTGGGTTTTCTGTTGAACGCCTCTCTGAGAAAAATTTTCCCTCATGTTCGATGTTTCACTAGAAGACAAATTTAATTTGTTAATTTGTTAACGTTGTTAACATTCAACTACACGAGATGAAGTGGTCAATCACACAAAATCAATCTAATAGCTAGTCCCTCATGCATATATGGTGCACTACAATCTCCTGATCATCTACTTTTTGTCTGTCCAAATATTGATTAATCCATTCGCCAATCCATCATGATATGCGGATTGTCTTCCTGTGAACGTCTTCCCTGTTCGTTTTCATAACTTGGCGGCTTATATAGCAATCTTTTCTTTTTTTCAATGCGCAATGAAAAATGTAGCTTTCGTTGTTGTATTCAGCCGTTTGCTAAAAACGGCGATCGAAAGTTAGGTTTTTCATACGTGATTATCCCTCCAACATCCAAACGTCTTTAGACTTCGTACCCACATAGAGCCTTTTTTTATAACGCATAGAATCTCATGTTATTGACTCGCGAACGTTAAAAAAGAGGAAGATTTTTCACGTCTTCGCGAAATCGCGGATTTAAAAAATTTCTGTAATTAATATAAAATAAGTTAATAATTTTGAATTATTTTCAGTTTATACGGGACGCAAAAAAAAAAAAAATTTGAAGGAATATTACATACCATCGCCTTATTATTATGTCCTTATCTTGGCCGATTATAACCTCGCAAAATGTTGGGTTATGAGTGCGGTCTACGTCGTGACTTATTACAAGCTGGCAGTGGCTCTTACATCTCTAGGATCAAGCTGAAATGATTCGGATAAAACCAGAGAAAATGGTGCAGGCACACAGAGTTTTGGTTCAACTGCTAAATCATGTCGAATTGGCTTTGGTCGTCGAAGAAAAGGTTTACCATCAGGATTCCATACGGTGCCTGCCTTAGGAACGAATGCCTCTGGTAGTGACTAATGTTCTTACTCGTTAGCATATAAAGGTGCAGTTTTCGTAGGAACGTTTATATGCGAGGGTGTAAAAAAACGTGCACAGTCGAACCAAATTATTCATATAAATTTAGAATACCCTTATACTAGTATTCAGTAATTTTTGCCCGGATATTTTTTTGCAATTTATTTCCACATAATGCTTTTTTCGAAGTAAGGTTTTGTATAACGAGTTGGTTAAAAACAGGTCAATGCATCAGATTTCATCAAAATATCTCAAAATTCCACTTTGTAGGTTGAGAACATCGAAGTATATGGACAGACAACTTTAGATTGATTTAGATTCTGAATTCATTCAGAATCATTTTCGACCGATATAATAAAAGATAGACTTATGTTAATTCTTTCCGCGTGTTGCGTACGTTCGCACAAACTTAATACACCCCTGTATCACAAAGGGTAAGAAGAAAGATATTATTGTTTGCTATTTTACTTTATATATTTCTCTCAACGTTTTTCTCTCATGTGATAAATAGTCTGAAATTCCTGAAACTGGTTTTTCCTTGTAACGCGAAAACTGCTGC